TGCATGAATCGCAGAAAACTAGTATGTAGGTACAGCAGGCAAATAGAATTCTGGCATTTATTGCAAAAGGAATAGAGTATAAAAGTAGGCAAGCATTGCTGCAACTGGACCAGGCATTAATGAGACTGCACCTGGAGTGTTGTGTACACATCTTTGGGAGAGGCAAAAGCTTAATGGTACTATAGCTGAACTATTAATCCAGAGACCCAGGTAATGTTCTGAATGTTTCACAAGGTAACATTCCTTCGACTATTCTAACCAGTCTATTTTTCTCAGACCAACTTTACTTGCTTTGGACTCCAGTCAGGTCACCATCTAATGGCACAAAAGCTTTTAAACAAATTTTAAAAAATCTTGCTCAGCCAAGCTTCTGCCAACATAATGGATTAATGTTTTCTCTCTTGTTGTAAACCCTCACAGTATAAACAAATGTCCCTTAACACACCAAACCTAATTTCTTCAATTTACCCTCATTACTGATATTTCTCATTCCTGGAACCATTCTTGTAAATCACTTATTCTGTACACTCTCCAATGAATTCACACCTTTCCTATACTGTGGTGCCACAACTTTAACCAGTACTTCAGCTGGGGTCAAGTGTCTTGTACAACATCACCAAATCCTTGCTCCCAAGAACACTATATGCTTTACTAACTGCTCTCTTCACCTGCCTTGCCACCTTCAATTATCTGTACACATATACACCCATGTCCCTCTGCTTCTGTACCCTATTTAGAATTGCACCTCCTATTTTGACTTCCCATGTTCTTTCAATCAAAGTAAATCGTCTCACATTTCTCTGTATTGAATCTTATCTGCATTCTATTTTCCCACTCCACCAACATGTCAGTGTCCTTTGGCATTGTTACAACACGGAGACCAAATCAGCTTTTCTACCTCTATATTTGCAACACAGGTTAAACCTTTTAAAGATCCTTAAAACTGACCCAAATGGTCCCTAACCATACCTTTTGAATAACCAATTCGATACTTTACAAATAATCAATTCTTGTTCTGAGGAAGGGTCACCGGACCCGAAACGTTGACTCTTTTTTTCCTTCACAGATGCTGCCAGACCTGCTGAGCTATTCCAGCGACTTTGTTTTTGTTCCTGATTTACAGCATCCGCAGTTCTTTCGGTTTTTAATCAATTCCTGACACTGGTTTGGAGCTTCAACTACAGATTTGGCAATTTATTAACAGTATAATAACTTTAGGACAGCAAAATTAACATAATCTAATTAGTCTATGCTATAAACCCAAAATCCTCTGTTTGTTGCTCCATTAATACAAAAGACAGACAGGCAAATAAATGCAGTGAATGGATAAATAAAAGAAAATAACAAAACTAGCCAGGTTACTGAATTGGTTTTCATGCATTGTTCCACAGGTATAAATGGTCTTTTGATTTATTTTCTGAGGATGTTGATCAGGATCACCTTGACAATTCCCTCAGATAAAGGTAATAATACGTATAACTTAGTTTTCTATTCTCTGAGCTTCCAAAGCCTTTCATGGGAAGTTAGGCAAGGAGCTTTCAAATCATCATGCTGTAACATCAACAGCCAAATTCTTTTTCTCACTGAATACACAGTCCAAAACCCAATTGAATTGCTGACCGCTGGCTGACAGACTGAAAATCTCCTTCATGAGGTTTCAATTATCATTCAGCATCCACCACCTGTTTGAGCATCGTATCTTTTCCAGACTCACTGGAACCAAATCTCAGGAACTAACCTCATTGATAGCCTGCTTCTGCCACCTGTTTAAACATAATGCTGTTCGCTGTTGACGAAGCGTGTGTCACACTATTTGATCATGAACCAACCTGCAATTAACTTCAAGGTCTGGCCTCACAAATGAATAAAAACTTGTTTAGTCTGTTTCTCTTTTAACACAAGCTGTTATCCATAGTCCAAAAGTCATCTTTAGTTGAAAGTACCTAGTTCACAGCTCTGTTTTTATTTTATTCTTTTTACAATTTAATGAAAAATCAGCGAGGGCTATAACAAGTTCCACACAGTTCTCTGCACAGTTTTCAGTTCTTCTAAGTTTAGTGTTATCTGCAGACTTTGAAATTGGCCCACATGCCAAGATTTAGATCATTAATATATATCAGAAAAAGCAAGGGTTCCAATACTGACTCCTGGGGAACTCGCCACAGGTCTTCCTCCAGTCTACAAAGTGCCCATTGTTTATTATTCTCTTTTCTCTATCCCTCAGCCAATTTTGTACCAATGCACAGGAGGAAGTGACACAGGAAGTATGGACTTCAGAGGGATGGGCATAGGAGTGTGGATCAAAGGAGATGATGGCACTAGAAGTGATTCTGTATTCTGGGCATACCCACACTTGGAGAATGACTGTAGCTCAGGGACTGACTGTGACAGGAGGAGTCACTGATCCTTCGCTTTGCAGCAGACACCTTTGCAATCTCTTGACTTTGACTGGCATTTCATTTTTGCCCCTCACCTCTCACCTGACAAATGTCCCTTTCCACAATTTAGAGGTGACTTTACATTGATGGTGTAATGTTAAGGAAAGTTGGGTTAGAGATGAGACGGTTGTTTGCATGAAGTTGAGGGCTTGTGTTTTATGAGAGGGGTAGAAACAGCAAATATGAAGAAAGAGAATCAGGAATAATATTGGATAACATGCACTAACATGGGTGTCTGTCTCATACCCAACAATGTGGAAAATTTCCCAGGAAAGTCCAGTAAATTTGTCCTGTATATAAAAAGCAGGATAAATCCAATCTGGCCAATAATCACCCCATTAGTCTACTCATGATCATCAGTAAAGTGATAGAAGGTGTCATCAACTGTGCTATCAAGCAGCACTTGCTCAGCAGTAACCTGCTGAGTGATGCCCAGTTTGAGTTCCACCAGGGCACTCAGCTCTTGACCTCATTACAGCCTTGGTTCAAACATGGTCAAAACAGCTGAATTCCGGAGGTGATGTGAAAGTGACAGCCCTTGACATCAAAGCTGCATTTGACTGTGTGGCATCATAAAGCTCTGGCTAAACTGGAATCAAATGGTATCGGGGCAAACCCTCTTTTGGTTAGTGTTACACCTAGCACAAAAGAAGATGGTTGTGGTTGTTGGAAGTCAGTCATCTCTGCTCCAGGACATGTCTGCAGGAATTCCTCAGGGTAGTGTCCTCAGCCGAACCATATTCACTGCTTCATCAATGACTGTCCCTTCAACATAAGGTCAGAAATGGCTATGTTCATCAATGATCACACAGTGTACAGCACCATTCACACTTCATCAGATACTGAAGTTGTCGATGTTCAAACGAAAGAAGATCTGGACAATATCCAGGCTTGGGCTGACAAGTGGCAATTAGCATTCGCACCACACAAAGACCAGGCAATGACTATCTCCAATAAAACATAATATAATTACCTCCCTTCTCATTCAATGGTGTCACCACTCATGAATCCCCCATTATTTTGAGGATTACCGTTGACCAGAAACTCAACTGGACTCACCACATAAACACAGTGGCTACAAGAGCAAGTCAGAGGCGAGGAATACTGCAGCAAGTAACTCTCCTCCTGACTAATCAAAGCCTCAAGAAGCTTTACACCATCCAAGTCAAAGCAGCCTGCTTGATTGGCACCATATCCATAAGTATCCACTCTCTCCACCATCAATGCTCAGTAACAGCAGTGTGTACTATCTACAAGATGCACTGCAGAATCTCACTAAAGATCCTTAGACAGCACCTTCCAAACTCGTGACCACTTCCATCTAGAAGGACCAAGGCAGCAATACATGGGAACGTCACCACCTGCAAGTTCCCTTCCAAGCCACTCACCATCCTGACTCGTAAATTCCTTCACTGTCGTTGGCTCAAAATCCTGGAATTCCCTCCCTAAGGGCATTTTGGGTCAACCTATAGCACTTGGACTGTGGCAGTTCAAGAAAACAGCTCAGCACAATGGTGTCACCACTCATGAATCCCCCATTATTTTGAGGATTACCGTTGACCAGAAACTCAACTGGACTCACCACAAGGGCAGAAAGGGATGGATAGTAAATATTGCCCCAAAAGGTGACGCCCTCATCCCACAAATGAATTTTAAAAACCTAGATCAGGATCAAGACTCTCCTGCCTAAGTCACTCAGACACTGCTGTATTCCTGACTTTAATGTCATGAGATGGTAGGTTTTGGATCAGGACCTGGATAAGCCTGTCCTTCAGGCACAGCACATCTAATGGTGGGATGGTCAGTGCAGTTCAGGCTCTGGAGAATCCCAGGGATTTTCAGATGGGAGATAGATTGTGCTTGAGTCAATGGGATTTAGGATGTTTGGGTCTTTATTTATGTGGGGATCCTCTATCAGTACCTAGTCTGTAGGTTGTTCATCATTCCTGGAATTAACCCACTTTTGTCCATCAGATTTACTTCTCCTGACAGCAGAGATTTTACCATCTTTTGCAGCTTCCGGAGCCCAGACACAAAGACAACAGTGACACCTGCAGCACTAACTGGTCACCACTTTAAATCAAATCTGCAGCTACCATTTCCTCTGGCAGTTCATCCTACGTACCAATCACCCTTTGCGTGAACACATTGCCCCTTTTAAATCTTTCTCCTCTCAACTTAAAATTATCCCCTACCCTAGGGAAAAGAGATTTGTCATTCACCTTATCTATATTCCTCATGACCTTATAAATCTCTATACGGTCACTCCTCAACCTCCGACACTCCACTGAAAAAAGTCCCAACCTATCCAGCCACTTCATACAACTCAAACCCTCCAGCCCCAGTAACATCTTTATAAATCTTTTCTGCACTCTTTCCAATTTTATAATATCCTATTTAGGCCAATACATGAAGAGCTGCAACCCAATAATAGTAATCAATGTAGGAGGAGAAGCAGAAAACATATTTAATGAACCTCTGTGGCAGTAGAATATCTTTTTTTTAAACTTCAGCAACCACAATTCACATGAGTGCAGTCAAATGTTGATAGATATGATTGACAAGTCATACTGATCTCAAAATAAAACGAGTGCAACATTTCTCTGGAATATTCGATAATTTATTCTTTGGACCTAAATATCTTATAATTGATGTACTATTATAGAGAATCATGTCATAGAAATTCACCAGCTTTTTCTCTCAAGTTTCTCCAAAAGTAAATAGCAGAACCGGAAAAAAATAGGAATTCCTCATTCTTACTCGATCCTTGATTGCAATCTATTGTAGATATGTAACAAATCATTTTTCCTTCCTTCATTCCTCATGACAATTTCTTATGCTTCTGGATTGAGGGACCAAAACGTTTACCTCAGCCACTGTCTTCCTTCTTTATTTATGAAAGCTTTAGAAACAGTTTTGCTATTTCTTGCTCATTTACACTGATTCTATTTTTTCAGTCTTCAACAACTTGTTGGTCACCATTTGCTCATTTCTAAAACATGCCAAATCCTCAAGATTACTTATGTGCTTTGCAACGGTTCATCAAAACCTCTTCCTTCAACACCACTATGAGCCACTTGTTTTATATCCATTTTATGCCAAATGAAGAAAGGTTTATCATGGGTAGATACCAGAGCTTTGTCAGAGGTAGGTCATGCCTAACAAGTCTGGCTGAATCTTTCAAGGAGGTGACCAAGTATATTGATCAGTGGCCACTGCACTAAAATTGGAACAAGGCTGTTAAGGGATCGGTTTAGGAAGTGAGAGGAAGGCAAGTATTACAGGACCTCTGAATGTATCTCACTCTCCAGCCGGTACTGAGCTCAAAATCCTGATGAAAGAGGTGGGTGATCCGTGAGTCCACAGCACCACAGCTGGCTTAGCTGTACGGGGTGGTACACTGAAGACTGGAAGAACAGTAAGAGACTCGATAGTTCCAAGAATAGACAAACGTTTCTGTGGCTGGAGACATGAATCCAGGATTGTATGTTACCTTTCTAATACCAGGATCGAGGATGTCACCGAGCGAGTACAAATGTCAGGAGGGGTACACTCAGGGAACAGTGATCATTGTATCAGAAAGTTTAGGTGTGGTGATTGAGAAGGACAAGGAACAATTATGAACAAGAATAATGAACTGGGGAAGACCAACTGCATTTGGGTAAGGAACAGATCTGGCCAGATAAATTGGAATAAAAGATTGTCAGGTGAAATGGTAAATGAACAATGGGCTGCCTTTAAAGATGAGATTACTTGGTTGGAGTAAGAATTATGGAGGCACTGGCCATAACTTTCCAGTCTTCCTGAGAATTGGAAGTGGAGCAGGAGAATGGAAGAACTGCAAATATTACACCCTTGTTCAAATAAGGATGTAAAGATAAATGCAGCAATTAACATTAGTGGGAGTAAAGCTTCTAGAAACAATAAATCAGGACAAAATAAGTCACTTGGGCAAATTGAGTTAACTAAGGAAAGATACAACAGATCTATAAAGGACAAGGTATATTTAACTAACCTCCAGAAGTCTTCTGATGATGCAACAGAAAGGCTTGATGATCCATGGTGTTAAGCTTCTTGAGTGTTATTGGAACTGCACCCATCCAGGCAATTGGGAAGTATTCCATCACATGCCTGACTTATGCCTTGCAGATGGTGGACAAGCTTTGGGGATTCATTAGGTGAGTTACTCACCACAGTATTCCTAGCATCTGACCTGCTCCTGTAGTCACTGTGTTTATGTGGCAATGTATTATGTGGCCAGTTGAGTTTCTGGTCAGTGGTAACCCCCAGGATATGATAGTAGGGGATTCAGTGATACTAACATTGAATGTCAAGGGGGATTGGTTAAATGGTCTCTTATTACAGACAGTCATTGCCTGGCCTTTTTGTGGTGCAAATGTTACTTGCCACATGTCAGCCCAAGCCTGGATAATGTGGTGCACATGGACATCCAAAAGGCAGTTGATAACATGCCCCACACAGCTTTGTGAGTAAAGTGAAGCAAAGGTCAAGTAGCTTCACGGTTATATCATGATCTGAGTGACAAGGAGTAGTGAGGAAGTGATGAATGGATGTTTCTCAAGTTGAAGAAAGGTTTATAGTGATGTTCTCCAGGGTTAGGTGCTATGGGACATGGTTCTTCCTTAGATATAATTAATTACCTAGATCTTGGTGTACACAGCATAATAACAACATTTACACTAAATTCGGGGGTGTTATGAACTGTGAGAAGGATGATGTAGAATTTCAAAAGGAGATAAACAGGTTTGTGAAATGGGAAGAGAGATAGGAGATCAAATTTAATGCACAAAAGTGTGAAGTGATTTGTTTTGGTACAGAGAACACAGAAAAACAACCTAATGTAAAGGTACAATTCTAAAAGGCTAGAGGAGCAGAGGCACCTCAGTGAAGCTGTGCAAAATCAATGAACATTGCTGGAGAGTTTGACACAGTAGTTAATAAAGCAAATGGCATCCCAGGAGTTATCAACAAGGGCACAGATTACAAAAGTAAGATAGTTTTCTACAAAACCCACATTAAACATTGTCTTAGCCTGAGCTGCAGTGTGTCCAGTTCTGGCTCTAGGCTTTATATATTCATGATAGTGGAATGAAGGTTCACAAGAATGGCTTCACGAATGACAAACTTCAGTTATAGAATAAGATTGCAGAAGAGGGACTGTTTTCACTGGAGAAGAGCGGATTGATAGCATATTTGATAAAAGTTTTCAAAATTATGAGAGGTCTGGACAGAGCAAACAGGAAGAAACCGATCCTACTTGTGCAAGGATCAAGATTGATGGGACACAAGCTTAAGGTAATTGGCAAAAGCGGTAGTGATGACATCAGAAAAAAAATTTCATACAGTGAACAGTTGGGGTCTGGAACATAAGGCCTAAGAGTGGTGGAGACAGGCTCAATTGAGCATTCAAGACAGAACTGCAAAGTACGAATGTACCATGGGTAGAAGGCAGGAAGGAGTACGAGGGTTGAAGAATCAGTCAAACGCCTCACACATCTGTATAATTCGTCTGTGTCTCTGCAGGCTCAAAGACATCATGAAAGCTTGAATGTAAATCTTATTTGAAGGGTTTCTCTTCTCCCCCACCCCATGTTAACAGTGCTTGGAACAGATGCTCCTTGGACATTAAATGATCTTCAGGATACCCTCTTTAAACCTCTCTGCATCAATACCTCTGTCCGCTTATTTAGAACCCTTGTTAAACCCATCGGTTTGACCAAATTTTTGTTAATCCCTTTCTTAGCACTCCTTTGTCTCTGCTATTTTAATTTCTATCTGATTACATTTCTATGATATACTTTGGGATGTTTTATTATATTAAGGCGCTAAATATATCCAAGCTGTTGTCCTCTCACTCTTCAGTCTTCAAGGTACTGACCCGGAGGACAGACTGTGGATTCTGATTGGCCTTTAGTGCTCTGTTTGAGTGCCCATTCAGCATGTGGAGAGCTAAACAGTGAATGTTGTGAGACAATGGAGACTGTCACAGCTGAGGCACATCCTGCCCTCCCCCTGACTCCCCAGCTGGACTCACTGGTAAGGAATAGGATTCCTGGCTGATTCTCCTCCTCCATTGATCAAAGACACTGAGGCTAACTGAGGTACCTCTATTACTGCCCCAAGAATGGCTCCTCCCCTGACTGCATGTCCTGGTCGATCAGAAGCTGAAGTCTTTCGAACCACTGAGTATCTGATTGTCTTCTTGGTCAGATTGAGAGTTAGTGAGTGACTTGTACCTGTCACAGCACTGAAAGGATGCTATATTTACACAGGAGCTTCTGTACATATTGACGTCTTCTGGTGATGTTTGGTAATCAGGTCGAAGATTACACATTTTTTGAAACAATAGGACCAATGGTGGGAGAGGTTTGAGATAGATATTGTTGACACAGACAGAACTTTGGAATGATAGCTCCCCTGTGTGTGCACTGGAGGGTAAACAATACAGACAGCTCTCAGTGCAAGAGAAGCAGGTGACCCAGCTTCGAGTCCATATGCAGACATTGTGTCTGATGAGAGGAGGAGAACAACAATGTGAAACAGTGGACACACGTCACACTGGAAGGGTTTGTCTCCCGTGTAGATTCGCTGATGTTCTATGAGGTCCAAGAATTGAATCCTTTATTACAGCACTCACACAGACCGGGTTTCTCCCTTATGCGAATGCATTGGCGGATCGGAATACACTCACTGTCTAACAGCCTTGTCACGTATTTTAGACCAGTCTGGATCCAGTGGTATTTTTGGAGATCAGGTGATAAATATCTTGTTATAAGCTTCACACCAGAAGAGTTCATCTCCTCGAACCTTCTGGTGCTGCAAGAGTCAAGGATTTCACAGTCACTCCACCATGGAGATTCTCTGAGGGAGCAGGAGCTTTCACGAGTGTGTGAAGAAAATGTCACAGATTTCACACATCAACAGTTTTTCCCCAGCAGGGATACGTTTGTGATACATCAGGCCCAATGATTGTACAAAGCCTTCATTAAACACCCTGCACTATTTGGACATGGCATTGTCACTGACAGTGTGAAACCATGGCTGTATACCTCACATTTCAGTGGTTTCTCCCTGGTCAGTAATTTTGGCCTTATGAAGCATTTGCCACACAGCCTAGCAAAAACCCTTTCTCAGTGTGGTTGTGTCTGTGTTTCTTGAGTATCACTGACTGTGTGAATACTCAGTCACACACCTTATTTGGCTTCCCCAACTGTGTGAATGCGACGGTGATCCAACATTCCCCACAATTGTTCAAACTCCTCATTACACACGTCACACGTGAATATTTTCTTCTCCCCTGTGTGAGTGTGCCGGTGTTTCACCAGGCCTGACAACTGTGCAAAGCTCTTATTACACACCTCACATTTGAAAGTCTTCTCCCCAGTGTGAAGGCGTTGGTGTTCAAGGAGGTTCGAAGACCGTGAGAATGATTTGTTACACACTTGGCAGGTGAATGGTTTCTCCCCAGTGTGAATGCGTTGATGTGTACGGAAGTGAGTTGAGCGTGAGAATGATTTGTTACACACCTGACACCTGAAGGGTTTCTCCCCTGTATGGATGCTCTGGTGTTCCAGGAGCCTTGTAGATGTTGCAAATGCTTTGTCACAAACTTCACACTTGAAGAGTTTCTCCCCTGTATGGATTGTTTGGTGGACCCGGAGGCTCGATAACTGCGTGAATGATTTCTCACACACCTCACACGTAAATGGTTTTTCCCCTGTATGAATGCGTTGGTGAACACGTAAGGTCGCTGACTGAGAGAATGATTTCTTACACACTTCACAGGTAAATGGTTTCTCCCCTGTGTGAATGCGTTGGTGCACAAGAAAGTCTGACGAGCACCAGAATGATTTGTTGCACAATTCACACTTGAAAGGTTTCTCTTCCATGCAGCTGTCCATGTATTAACAGTGATTCCCTGTTGCTGGGGGATCTGATGAATCTGTGGAATTCTCCTCACAAACCCGACAGTTGAACAGCCTCTTACCTGTAGGAATGAATCAGTATTTCATGAGACTTGATGAATGAATGAAGCTCTTACCACACCTGGAGCCCGCTCTCACTTCTTCCCAGCATCACACTGACCGATCACTCACAGCCGAACTTTCAGAAAGGTTGGTTCCGATGGAAGGCTGCACACCACTGACCAGTTTCAGATCTGATGATATGCTCCTCTGAACTGACCGATTTCCGGATGATAGTTTCACTGCCCAACCTTCTCTGTGTTGAGCAATGCTGTGAAGGGACTGGCTGGCTTTCCACAGTTGTGTAGTTGTTCCTTGGGTAATAGTCAAGATCTATCTGCAGTGTCTATCCTCTCTGATTCTCTGGTGTAGTACAGTGCAATTCTTCTGTAAAACAGGAAAAACAAACATGATTTCCTCCAACTCCCTCTCCTCTTTTGCCAAAGGAGCTGATTCCTCGGTAACAGGCTGTTACACAGTGAGTGCCAGTCTGCTATTCCCCTGTGTGGGGCGAATCAGGATACATCTCCTTTCTTTTTCATCAATTTGATGTCACACACCCTGTGTTTCCAGCAGGAACCCTGGCTAGTGAGCAGGAACAGATAACGTGGCTACTTTCTTTCCTTCGCCTAGCGGAACCAGCCCATACCCCCACCCTCTCTCCTGTCATCCCAGGTATCATTAGGGCAATGGAAAAGACAGTCGGTCTGAATTAGAACGGCCATTAATTCATGGTGAACTATCATCACTAAATTGTTTCAACCTGGAAACATTCCAAACTCCTGGTCATGTCCTTGGGTATGTTCCATTCCACTGAGAGGTGGGGCAGTCCTTAATATTGACTCCATGAATTGTCAGGGCTTCAGGTGAAACAAATTCAAGGAAACTACCACTCCCCTCCTAACTGATGAATGCATCCTTCACCATGTTCATCATCATGAGTGAAGTAGACTGAGGACACATCCCTCAACTGGGTGTCCTTCAGGTGCAATGAGCCATCAGCAGCAGCAAGATTGTATTCCACCACAATCTCACAGTCCTCATTCTAGGATTATCATTATCAAATGAGATAGAACCATATAATGCAATGTGGAAGCAAGCCATTCAGCCCATCGAGTGTACACTGACCCTCCAAAGAGCATCCCACCCAGACACACACTCCCCTACCCTTCCATGTAACCCTGCATTTCATGGCTAACGCACACATCCCTGGACATTATGGGCAACTTAGCATGGCCAATCCACTTAACCTGCACAACTTTGGACTCTGGGAGGAAACTGGAGCACACAGACAGTCACCCGAGGCTGGAATTGAACCTGGGTCCTTGGCACTGTGCGGCAGCAGTGCTAACCACTGGGCTGCCATGCTGCCCCCTTACATGACAAAAGGATCATATAGACATCAACCATGATCGTTTTGAATAGCAGAGCAGTATTGAAGGGCCAGATGGACTACTTCTACACCTAATTCATGTGTTAATAACCGAGCCCATTGAAAGTTAAGGGTGTCATTGGACCAGCCGCTAGGAAAGTGGGATGTAAAATACAACATGAGTGTATCATGGTGTTAAAAATTAAGAAGGGAGGTCCCTTCTGCAGTTTACTGTTTTAGTTGTGGATAGGAATTGTTTAACGCAATGTTGCTTTGCCTTGGTTTGTCAGAATAAACATCATAAAATGTGAAATCATGTCATGTGATTTCTATCAGATGATAATTGGGAATTCAAATATCTTTTAAAAGTTATCAGTTTTTTCTGGATCAGCCATCAGCACCAGCAAAAACAAATGACCTAAATTATCACATTATACTTGTGGGAGCTTGTTCTGCGCACTTTGATGGCCATGTTTCTGATATTACAACAGAGAACACACCTCAACTAGATTTTAAAAACTGTGGGACATCTGTGTGAAAAGATCTAAGCAATTGTAAGTTTTTTTCATAAGAGGTTCACAGAGTCAGGGTGGTGTGATAGCTTATAAGGATTAAAAACGACACACAACATCCAGATCCCAACTTAGAAAAAACTGACTATTCCCAGTCTACAGGATAATCATCAGTTCCCAACACATACACAACACAAAAATATGACATCAGTAAAAATCCTCAGACTTTCTGCACCTCCCATACAATAACACCTCACCTTCTTATATTCAGGAATGAGCCATCAACAAAACTCAGCCTGGAAATCAGAAGGGAAATGCTTCCAATAAACACACTCAATATCCAACACACAGCTCCAGTCAAACAGTTCAGTACAAAGCACCGAGTCAACAGCTCTCTCAACTGGATCTTCTCACACAGCATAAGGGACATTTCCACCCCTGATTGCTCACAGGATAGTCAGACTGCCTGAAGATTGGTGTGGATATTATAGGATACAATTTGTATAAAAGCTGCTCCTTCACTCACCATCTCCTCACTTGGTTTTCAGTCTCTATAGGAAGTGAACCAGCTCTGGAAGAGGAGAGAATGGGCAGAGTGGGTGGGCTCTCTGATTGACGTCTCTCACAGTCAATCCAAATATTTCTGCAACAACATGAGTTTCCTGAAGCTTGGGAAACTGACCGGTGAAATGGAGGTGACTTTGAGCGGTAGATCAGCTGGAGATTTAAATTTGTCTTTGTCCCATCTGAATAAAACTTCGCTTATTGCAGCTACTGTTTCAGTTCCCCTGTAAATGTTGATGGATATTTCTCGTGTGGGAATAGCATTCTTCGTCCTCGGAGACTTTCAAACTGAAAACATGTGAGATGTTGATCCTCGGATGCGTCTGACACTAGATCAGAACAGGAAGACCCACAGCATCCAAGGCATTGATGACATGCACAGGATGGAGGGGTGTGGGAGTTGATTGCACAGAAGGAATGGACACATGGGAGAGGGGCATGGGAGAAAGGGATGCAGGTGGAAGTATACAGAAGGGAGATGCACAGGCTCCGGGACTTCAACGATTCAGGGCATGCGGTGGGTCTCATCGTGTAAGGAGGTGCCCGTGAGTTGGCAATTGACAGCCCTGCCCACGGCCACCTGCTGTCGAGCTTCAGTGCCCCCAGCTCCGGTTCTGAGTTTCAACATTCACAACGTCTTGTTTCACTTCTAAGATGTTTTTATTCCGTTGTCTCCCAGATCCTTTACCAGGCTGTCCTAGTTTGGACCTTGTATCAGTGATATCGTTTAGCGTGCAATACACGAGGATGATTGTGGCCATTCTGTCTCTTTCTGGGGAACATTCTGATACACGCCCAGGTATGGTTAGTACCTGAAAAGTCCTTCAACATCCCACTCGCTTTTTTGTATGAGAACTGCCTCAGACAGACACGGGCATCAACACCGGATGAAGGAGGGGAATTGCTTTCTGTGAGTGTCCTCATTCAGTACAATGTCATCTCCTACTTCTATTCCCCTTGTCCGGCTTCTTCTCGAGCCTGGAAAAGAGCCGTGCAGACGGTGTTGATCACTGTGGCCTGAGAGAGGGGATAGCAGGCAGTGCTGATCACCAGAGACCAGGAGAGGGTAGCGCAGAAAGTGTTGAATCTTTTCTGAAAGTTTGATGGAGTGTCAACATGGAGAAGTTATTTCCAGCCTCATTTTAAGCATGAAGAAATTATTCCTTTATGTTCTTATCCGAATGTTTTATTAAAATGCGATGAGTGGTTTCTGCCTCTTATGATCCTTCCAGACAGTAAGTTTCAAGCCCTCATCACTCTCTGGGTGAAAAAAGTATACTTTCAGAAATGGATTTCTGAAGAAGGGTCCCGACCCGAAACGTCGACTTTCCTACTCCTCTGATGCTGCCTGGCCTGCTGTGTTCCTCCAGTTCCCCAGCTTTGCTAATTAGAGAGCCGAACAATCTGCCCATTCCCTCCTCTTCCTCTTCCAGAGCTGGTTCACTTCCTATAGGGACTGAAAACCAAGTGAGGAGATGGTGAGTGAAGGAGCAGCTTTTATACAAATTGTATCCCATAATATCCACACCAATCTACAGGCAGTCTGACTATCCTGTGGGTAATCAGGGGTGGAAATGTCCCTTATGCTGTGTGAGAAGATCCCGCTGAGAGAGCTGTTTACTCAGTGCTTTGTGCTGAACTGTTTGACTGGAGCTGTGTGTTGGATATTGAGTGTGTTTATTGGAAGCATTTCCCTTCTGATTTGCAGGCTGAGTTTTGTTGATGGCTCATTCCTGAAATTGGATGCCGGGTGTATCGTCAATTTCCTGATGTTGAGTTCTCTGTATGTGTTGGAAGCTGGTTATGATCCTGTGAACTGTGAATGGTTATTTCTGTCTGTGTGTTGGGATCTGGACGTTTTCTGTCTTTTCAAATCCTTTGAAGAGCTCCCACCACTCTATCTTTATGATCGTATCAAAAAAGAGCTAAGACTTGCAATTATATAGGGCTACCATGGCCACCAATAACCTAAAGTGCTTTCCAGCGAAAGAAGTCTGTTGGTAATTGTTGTAGCGTGGGAAAAATTGCAGCCAATGCGAGCACGGAAAGGCCTCACAAACGGCAAAGTAGTAACGACCAGACAATCCGTTTTTGATGGTGTTGATGCAGGTTTAATTTTGCCCACATCACCAGTGGTAACTCCCATAATCTTCAAAATAATACCGTAGAATCTTTCACTCTCACCTTAGAGAGAGGAGAAAAGACGTCTATTTAACATCACAGCTGAATTCCAGCACCACTGATAATGCAGCACTCCCTCACCCTACAATGGAAATATTCAAAAACTGACTGGATGTTTGGTAGGAGCAGAGCTCTAGAAATTTTCATTGATTTTAATGTAACCGTCCAGGTTTCAGTTATTAGGCAAATACTGACTCTGAATCAGATGAGGAGACATTCGGACAGATTATTACAATTTTGGGCAATGAAGTTGGTCTTAAAGTGGGTCATAAAGGACATCGCAATGTGGAAAAGCGGGAAAGTTTTGAGAGGGAATTCCAAAGGCTGGGGCCTTGGCATTCCAAGCCACGGCCCCCAATTTGGAGCGAAAAAAATGGGAGAAGTTTATGAGGCCAGATCTGGAGTAGTACAGGGGCTTGAGAGGGTTGTAGGAATGGAGGAGATGACAGACATAGAGAAGACAGAAGCTGTAGAAGGATTTTCAAACCAGGAAGAGAGGTGTTTTCAGAGTGGGAGCAATTACAGGTTAGCGAGCACAAGTATAATGAGTGAATGTTACGTGGTGTGAGTGAGGATGTGGGCAGCAAAGATTTGGAATGTTGAGGTGAATGATGATGACATGCAGCAATCTTCTTGGTGAGGGGCACATTTTCTGTGCGTCCAATGAGCATAAATATCAGACATTCCCAAGCTGCCCGAAGACTGTATTCCCTTCTTTAATTTTAATGGTAGAATGTGATCATTTCCAGAAGGTTTAACCCTAGAATCCTTTCATTTCTCTTTAATTAACTAAAATTCCTGGAAATTACTGATGGTGGAGGTCTGGAATAATACATTTCCTCTGAGGAAGCGTTGCACTGTCGGAGGGGCAGCGCTAAGGGAGAGCTCTCTCCTTGGATGGGCAGGATTGAGGGAGATTATTTATTATTGGACTTGTTAGTGATTGCTTATCATAGTTGGCTCCGTCACTTAAGAGGGCAGCTCAGAGTCAACCATGTTGTGCGGGACTGGAGTCACATGTAGACCAGATGAAGCGTTTGTGTAGATTCCCTTCCTTGAAGGATAATATTTGGATTTTTAGGACAAACTAAAAATTTTCACGCTTTTATTTCACGTGAATCATAAACACCAGCATGGACCATTTAGCAAGTGGCCAGTTTCTCACTGTAATCGTATGGATTCATTTGAACTCTCAGTCTCTGGATTGTTGATCCAGCACCATTGTTATTCAGCTGTCAAAACTGGAGTCACATTTCTTGAAATATCTTTTAATGCTTAAAACCTGGGCCTGGATTTGATATTTTTTCCCAGAGCTGTAGCTCATGACTGAACTTGGAATGTGTAGTCTCAATGAGTGCAGTGTATCTAATTTCCCAAGATAAACCAGAACACTTCAACCAGCTACATTAAACTGTCCTCAGCTCCAGCACCTGCACTCATGCCCATTGAGTTTCCTGAAAATAATTTTAAAACATAAAGAAGAAATTTTATTTATTTGAGTGTTTTTTATATTAAACACATAATGTAAGGTAAGGCTGGTCTTCATCAGCATCGCTCAAACTCAGTGAATTGAGAGCCTGTTTAACACTCTGTCCAATTGTCTTTTCCATTGTCTTCATGGTGCCTGGGAAATGGGGGTCTGGATGGAGGAAAGAAAGTAGCCACATTGCCTGCTCCAGGTCACTATCCAGTACCCCTACTGGAAACAGAGGGTGAGTGACAGTCAAGTGAGAAAAGAAAGGACTTCTTTCTGATCACCCCCCAACACAAGGAATAGCAGACTGGCACTCGCTGTTTAACAGTCTCTAACTGAGGAGTCAGCCCCTTCAGCAAAGGAGGAGAGGGAGTTGGAGGAACTCATGTTTCCTTTTCCTGTTTTACAGAAAGATTGCACCGTACTACACCAGAGGATCCAAAGAGGATAGACATCGCAAATAGATCTTGACCATCACTAAAGGAAAAACTGCACAATTGTGGGAAGACATCCAGTCCCTTCACAGCAGTGCTGAACACAGAGAAGGTTGGGCAGTGAACCTATCATCTGGAAATTGGTCAGGTCAGGGAGCTTTGACACATCATCAGATCTGAAACTGGTCAGTGGTGTTGAATCTTCCATCAGAACCAACCTTTCTGAAGGTTCAGCACTGGGTGATCAGTCAGGGTGAGGCTGGGAAGAAGTGTGAGTGGTTCCAAGTGTGGTGAAAGCTTCATTCATTCATCGAACCTCATGAACCACTGACTCATTCCTTAGGGGAGAGGCTGTTCAAGTGTGAGGAGGCTGCACTAGTTCAGGCGTCCTGTTTACAGGATTCTTGTACAACTGTTAACACAAGGGCAACTTCATGGAAGGGAATGGATGAAGTATGCAACTGAGCTTTTACAAAGTTATCAATGCTTGTGAACCACCAAAGCATTCACAGTGGGGAAAAACTGCTCAAATGTGAAATGTGTAATAGGGCCTTTCCACATTTAGCGGGCCTCGTGAACCATCAACGCATTCATACAGGGAAGAAACTGTTCACGTGCAGGGTGTGTGATAAATCATTCTTACAGTCATCGACCCTTCTTGTGCATCAAAATATTCACACAGGAGAGAAACCATTCACTTGCAATGTGTGTATTAAATCATTCTCGCATTCATCAACCCTCCGTGTTCATCAACGCATTCACACAGGAGAGAAACCGTTCACATGCACAAAATGTGACAAATCATTCTCTGATTCATCACACCTCCGCAGACACCAGCGCATTCACACAGGGGAGAAACCGTTCACATGTGAGGTGTGTAACAAATCATTTGCATCATCATCAGATCTTCAGAGACACCAACGCATTCACACAGGGGAGAAACCATTTATTTGTGATGTATGCAAAAAATCATTCTCATCATCATCGGATCTCTGTGTACATCAACGCACTCACACAGGGGAGAGACCATTCACATGTGAGGTGTGTAATAAATCATTCTCACACTCAGGAAATCTCCGCACACATCAACGCATTCACACGGGAGAGAAGCCGTTCAAATGTGAAGTGTGTGATAAATCATTCTCTGACTCTTCGAGACTTCTGGTTCATCAGAGGATTCATACTGGGGAGAAACCATTTAAATGTGGTGTGTGTGACAGAGCATTTTCGCAGTCAGTGAGCCTCCGTGTACACCAACGCATCCACACAGGGGAGAAACCATTTATGTGTAATGTGTGCAACAAATCATTCTCGAGGTCATGGAATCTCCTGCTCCATCAGAGGATCCACACAGGGGAGTAACTTTTCAAATGTGAGATTTATGATGAAACTTTCACGATGGAGTTGACCATCCAGAACATGACAAAATGCACACAGTGGAGAAACTTCCAGGATGATGTTTGAAACAAGGCTTTCACACAGTCAGCATATGTCCTGGTCTATCAATGCACTCATGTGGAAGGAATTCTATCAGTGTAAGTTTTGTAATAAAGCCTTGCACAAAGTTACCTAGCCTTTTACCTAGTTAAATTCATACTAATCTGTCATCAGAGTGAGATTCTCTACATAAGCTCACTGCAAAGGATGGTATTGGTTCAAGGAACAAGAAGCAGCTTTCACTCACATCATAACACCAGTGCTGAGGTACTGCTATCAACAGCAGCTCTCTCTTTGAACGAAGTTGATGATGTTTTGTACAGAGTGTAAAATCTCCCAGGTTCAACAAGAAACAACAGAATGAATATGCACTGGACGTCATCAACTCAGAGAGACAAATGTGCCTGATATTCCTTTCTCCAAATTGTTCAAGATCATATGTACAACTCAAGATGTTGGGGCTTTCCATAAGTCCCAATTCACTGGCTCTGTGGGAATTGCTTTGGAGATTGACATATCTGACTTTAAATTCCTGGGTGTTCGGTACCTTCTGGAAGAAAATCTCTGACTAAGTTTGAGTCCAAGATTTCATATAGTTCTGATGTACGCATGTGAAAAAACATAGTCCAATTCCTGAGTATCTATAGACTTGACCCCAATCACTCAGACTGATTCTCTCTGTAACTCCCTGCTTGACATTCTGACCAGCCCTTGATTGACCCTCCTTACCACCAACACTACGAGAACTAACCTATTCTGACTATACCCCACCACCTGTCTACACGCTGATGACCCCCAAACCTGAAAACAACTTCTTGAACTGACTGCACCCGAAATACTCCACCCATTCACCAACCTGACCCAACTGCCACCTGACTCACATACCCATTTACGTCATCAAACCTAGCAACTTACATTCCCAT